AGTGGCGCTACCCGCGCCACTTTGGCGCTGTTGCAGCGCCGGAAAAATATAGAGAACACGGATTTGGCGCGAGACCCGCGCCAGACTGGCGCTACTCGCGCGAGAAATCGACCCAATGCAAAAAAGTGGCGCTAGACCTACGCCAGAATGGCGCTACCCGTGCGGACTTCAGCGTTGAAGCAATTTCGAACTTAAAAGGACGCTGCGAGGGTTCTTTAGGAGAGACTTTTGGACGACGGAGCAGAACAAGGATTCGTGAAGGAGGAGAAGAGCAGAGGATTGCTCTTAGTTTCTCATTGTAATTACATTCTTTCATCTTTATCTTTTATAATTTTATGTCAGCCATGTCTATGGCTGGCTAATTTCCTTTATTGTAGTTAGGGTCACAATCCTTATGTGAACCCTTGTTACGACGGATTGGTTATTTTACTTGTTTATATAAATTTCTTAATCTTTTCCTTGTGCGAAATTTCTATTTTCTTTATTAGACTTGATCAATCTAATAGTGGATGATAGCTTGAGGGTTAGAACCCTAGATAGGAATATTGGAGTTTTTGATCTTGAAAGGGGGTAAGATAACAATTATTATGCATGCTAGAAATAGATGTATAATTAATTGCAGATGCTTTAATTATCGTGTTCATTGCTTAATTTTCATGAGGGGTTACTAAGGGATTAAGATTCCAATTGAAATTAAAGGGTTAAACTGCCAAGTGATTGAGATTTAACTAATTATTCTAGATGATAATTATCTGAGTATTTATATAAATAAGTATTTTAAATCAATCCAAAGTAAGAAGTGGGGATCATATGGTGAGTGCACTCTAGCTACGATGCTTCTCTTATTTACAAAAATCATTCTCTGTTCTTTTTCTCATAAACAAAAATTCAAAAATACGTCTTACTTTTAATTCTTATTATTCTCAAATCCACGGCAATATTTGTCACAAACTATTTGAACTCCTCCATTCTTGAAAGGACTATTAATTGATATACGATCACAATCCCTGTGGAGACGAACTTGTCTTATCATTATTTTACTTGTGCGATCGATATACTTGCCAGTGAGCATCAAGTTTTTGGCGCCGTTGCCGGGGATTGGCGTATCTTTTATCAATTAATTTTGATTTTTAAGATTGGATTTTTATTTTATTTTTATTTTTGATTTCTCTGTGATTCTTGAACAGTGCTACTAGACCCTTTTCTGAGTTGTATGCGAGGTAAAGAGCCGAAATTTTCCCTTTACTTGGAGATTACAAAAACAGAAAAGAGAAACAGGAAACTTGCTCGGAAGAAGCTTGCATTCAACAATTTGGGAATTCTGTCTGAAAAAGCACACAAGATGGTAGGGAATAATGAAGCGGACAATCTATTCTTGGACACCATTCTGACACCACTATTTAATAGGCCCAATTCAAGTATTGTCCATCTGAAGTTTGCAACAATAATTGGGTGCTCAAGTCTGATAATATTCGACTGGTGGAGAGAGCTCAGTTTGGTGGAGAGGATGATGAAGACCCTCATAGGTTCATAAACAGATTCCTGATGATCTGTGACTTGACTAAACATCCTCAAGTGTCTAATGATGCAGTCCGACTGAGACTGTTTCCTTTTGCTCTTAAAGGAAAAGCTTTGAATTGGTTGGAGAGGCAGCCTGCGAGAAGTATTCCCTCATGGGAGAATTTATCAAACAAGTTCTTTGCGGAGTTCTTCTCGATGGAAAGATACAATCAAATGGTGAATGATATCACCAATTTCACTCAAGCTGAGGGTGAAACTATGTGTGCAGCCTGGAACCGATTCAAAGATCTAATGAGGAGATGTCCCCATTACCCCATGACTAATGGTGATCAGGTCCGAATCTTCTTCTTCAACGGTTGCAAACCTGAAATTCGGATGGTTCTGAATGGTGCAACAGGTGGTAGCATTAAATCAATGAGAGCAAATGAGACTCTTGAGTTGATTGAAAGAATGGCTGCCAATGAAAAAGAAGGGTTATCATCTAAGCCTAAGAGAGGCATTCTTCACCTAGACAACAATGATGCAGCATTGGCTGAAAATAAATTGTTATCACAGCAGATGGCGAATTTGACATCAAGGCTTGATAAAATGCAGCTCTCTAGCGTTCAAGCTAAAGCTGCTTCAGTTATTTATGAATATTGCAAGGAAGGTCATGAAACTAATGAATGTCCTACCTTGCTATCTGACGATCCTCCTCAATAGGTGCATGTAAATGGCGTGTTGTATGATCAGAGGCCCCCACCACAAAATGTTCCGAGAAATCAGAATTTTCCTTCTGGAAACAATAACTTCCAGAGGAGGGTGCAGGGTACTGGTTTTGACTTCAAGTCCAATAATTATCTGCAACCACCACCAGTTCAATCGAAGGAACCTTCTGATTTAAAGAAGCTAGTGGGACAAATGGCCCAACATTCTAATGCTTTCATGGAAGAGACTCGGGCAAATACCAGAAATACACAGGCTTCTATCAAGAATTTGGAGAATCAAATTGGCCAGCTGGATAAACAAATGGCTGACAGAACTCAGGGTACCTTCCCTAGCAATACGGTTACTAATCCCAAGGAGGATTGTATGGCTATCACAACTAGAAGTGGTAAAGTGGTAGCAGCTCCAGAAAAGCCAAACACAAATATGGAAGCTGATGAGAAGCTTAAGGCGGTTAAGGAGCCAGAAAAAGAGGTGGTGATTCCTTCTGATGTTGAGAAACCTATTCAGAAAGGTAAAGAAGAGGAGCTACCAATTATTGCTGAAAAGAAGAAATTTGAGCTGAATCCGGAATATGTGAGAGCCATGGCACCTTATCCAGAACGATTCAAGAATGATGCTCAGAAGCAACACTATGCTAGGTTCCTAGATATTTTCGAAAAGCTTCACATTAATATTCCATTTGCTGAAGCCTTACCTAGCATGCCAAATTATGCCAAGTTCATGAAGGATTTGTTGTCTAGGAAACATAAGCTGCAAGAATGCCAAACTGTTGCACTTACTGAAAGAGTGCAGTGCTATTATACAGAAAAAGTTTCCTCGTAAGCATCGTGATCCATGGAGTTTTAACATTCTATTGTCATTGGTAACAAAAATGTTGGCAAAACTTTGTGTGATCTTGGGGCTAGTATAAATTTGATGCCCTTGTCTGTGTATAAATCTTTGGGAACCTCTGAGCTCAAGCCTACTAAGATTTCCTTGCAACTTGCTGATAGATCTTTGAGGAAACCGAGTGGTATTATTGAAGATGTTCTTGTTAAAGTGGACAAGTTCATCTTCCCAGCAAATTTTGTAGTGTTGGATATGGAAGAGGGTACTAAAATGCCTCTGTTGTTGGGTAGACCTTTCTTGGCTACTGCTCGGGCTACGATAGATGTTGAAGAAGGGAAACTCGAGTTAAGGATGATGATGATGAGACTATCACCATCAATGTATTTGATTCTATGAGACAAGCTTCTAATGAAGGTGATTGTTTCAGACTTGATGCTTTAGAAGAAGTGGTGGAAGAAGAGAAATCTTCTATTCAAGAGCTTGAGGAAGAACTAGAGGCGCGAGATATTGTTCCTTTTGAGGAAGAAGAAAGTGTTGTGTTTGAAGTTCTTGAGAAGAAGGATTCTTACAAAGAAGATGGTGCCCCAAAAGTGGAGTTGAAGGAGCTTCCTGAAACTCTTAAATACATCTTCTTGAGTGATGAGGAAACTTACCCTGTTATCATTAATAAGGGGTTGTCTTCTGAGCAGGAAATGAAGTTGACAGAAGTGCTGAAAGAACATAAGACTGCCATAGCGTGGTCTATTTCTGATTTGAAAGATAAAGATCCCTCTTCTCGTACTCACAAAATTATTAATAAGGATGATATCAAACATATGAGGAAGCCTCAAGGGAGGAATCATCCTACAATGAAGAAGGTAATGAGAAAGGAAGTGGTAAAACTCTTTAATACTGGTTGGAAGATGTGTGCGGATCACCGACAAATGAAGGCCTAAAAAAGAAGAGTCTTTGACAAGAGACACCGAGACTCTATCTCTCAGAAAAATCAATGCTTCAAAGAGTTCTTAACATGGCTTCATGGTTTGGACCAAATCTGGGAATGATGGTCTCATCCCATGCTGCTGAGGGGGATGACATGGATGATTGATATCTCCTTGCTGATGGAGATTTTGTATATTAGTTTATTTTTTCTGTTTCGTATTTTTAGTTACTTTGTGTTGGTATATTTCTCTCTGATGTTTTAATGTGCGCATTATAGTTCATCCTATATGCCACTGTTTGTTCCATTGTGCAGGTTTTTCTTCCTTCTTGTGGCTTAATTATTGCTGAGGACAACAATTCTCTAAATCTGAGAATGGTAGGTGTTGTCAAATTTAGCAAGTGTACTAGTCGAACAAGTAATAAAATGATGAGTAAAGATCGTTCCCACGAGGATTTGTGTCAAGCACCGACTAACCATATATACTTAAGTTGAATCAACCAAAAGATCATTGATTGCATTGGTTTCTTGTCACCAGAAACTACACTTAATTGAATTAAAACTTGATAAATAAATAAAATATGAATTGGGATTTAATAAAACAAGTAGTCAGAAAACAATTTCCCTCAACAATAAACTCATGTAAAAATCAATCATATGATGAATTCTCTTCCATGTGATGTTAATCAACCCTTTACTTATCATCAAGATCTAATCCCTTACTACCCTGATAGATACATTAATCAGAAACCTCAATCCCTTGGTGATTCCTTTCTTAATACATGCATTAAACACTAAGGTCTTAAGATTACATCAAAATTCTAGCATCAATCCCTTGAATACTAGAATCCTGATGATGAAATTGCCAGATATAGGAGTAGTGTAAACATTCATGTTCTACACTACTCCCTTAGTAGAAAGAATTGAATAAGACAATCTCACATCAACACATGAAAGATACTTCATAATATTAATCAAACATACATAAGAACATCATTGATTCCATTGAATTTAGACTACAAGGACTCTACTAAGACATAATTCAAATACAAACAAGAGAAGAAAGATCAAACTCCATTGACATGATAGTTGAGTCTTCAATCTCCAACTGCAATTACATAGAAAATACTAACTATTACAAGAACTAATCCTAAGAATTTGGAAATTCAGAGAAAATGAGGAGTCAGATCAGATCTATGAAAGACCTGACCTGATCTCCCTTCTCCTAGTGTGATGGGAAAAGTCAAAATGAGATATGATAGGATTGGATATCAGAGTATGAAGGCCCCTTGTCCTTTTATAGTTTACAAATTACAACTGAAAACAGACATGGACGCTAAAACGTTCACTTCTGGGCGTTTTAGCGTCCAACTTTGACGGATGCCCAACTGCTTTCAACTGTCTTGGGCGCTAAAACATTCGATTTAGGCGTTTTAGCGCTCATCAGGGCGCTAAAATGTTCGATTTGGGCGTTTTAGCGCTGAGCACCAGCAATTTAAGGCCTCAATATGCAGCAGGGCGCTAAAACTCTTGATTTTGGGCGTTTTAGCGCCCAACACTTAGAATTTTCCCATTCTTCAGAATCTTCTTCCTTCTCTCTTTGCTTCATTGAGCTTCATTTCCCTACAAGAACAATACAAATTTTCAACAAAGCTTTCAGAACTTGTATTTAGGACTTTCTAGGACATTAACCCTCTTTTCTATCCATTTAATCACACAAATTAAACTAATTCATGCTTTAAAACCTTATAAACCAAGGGTTTATCTGTAGGCTTGCATCTTAGAACTGCAATTCTTCTATCAGGGGAGATATTCTAACTCTTTTAATTTTCTTAGTTATTTTAGTAGTTATTTTGTGTGCTATATATATATATATATATATAAAAAATTGGAAAAGGTTTTCTGAGCAAGTCCCAGGTTTAGATATGCTTCCCCTAGTTAACTTGACTGATTCATCATAGAAAACATGTTTTGTATGAACTTCTGGCATGATATTGTATGGGCATGAGTAGATTTCATGATTGCTCGTTTGTCTGAATTTTGTGCTTGAATGTTTAATGATGCCTGATGTTTCTTTTGGAAGTCTAGCTTGACATCATAGCTGGTGAGGTTTTGTGCTTAAACATTTATTTTATTTTGAGAGACCTCACTATGATAGCATTCTAGAACTTGCTATGTTTTTCTGAGATGCATGCATTGATTGAAATGATTAAGGCAATTTTAATCTGTTAGCCATGGCCAGATAGCCCACCTGTTTGATTTCTCCATTGTTAACCCCTTTGAGCCTGAGCCTTTTTGCCCATAATTCCTGCTGATTGCTTAGCCATATTTCTATTGTCTTACCTTTGTTGAGATTGAAACACTTGAAAAGAAAAGAAAAATCGATTGGGGTAAGTTTCATTGAAGCTAAGTAATATGTCAAAAAGAAAAGAAGAAATATAAAATATTTCTTTGAAAAATTTAGAAAGGGTCTATAGCAGTGTAACACCCTCCTTTGTATACATCCAAGAGAGTTGTTTGCTAAGCGGATTAGAGACTTAACGTTAACGTGTGAAATTCTCGTTTAGAAAAAACTTTTTCATTTAATATCAATTAGAAAATCTTGCTTAGACACTGACTTGAAGAAATAAAACAACAAGAAAATTCAAAAAGGCTTTCGCTGCGAAACTCTGATTTTTCCCGAAAACGATCTATCTTGAAAATATTAAAAAAAAATCCGAGTACAAAAATTTACAAAACTTTTCTTTGCTACTAAGAAACTAGACATATGGGGCTTCACATACATATAAATTATACGCGAATCAGAGGTCTCTAGCCCCACGAAACAGAACTCGCAAGTTCCTTAAAAATTCAGTGTATTTTCCAAAAACCTCCTGACTGGTAAAATTTATAATAATTCTAGTTTTCAAAATTTCATGGTAAGGGTTACATAATCTGAAAGTACACAGCTGGGGCTTTGCATCCATATAAAATATACCTCAATCGGAGGTTCGTAGCCCCAGAACGTCAACTCGCAAAGTGCTCGCAAATCCGTTTAAAAATCAGCATATAATAAAATGTTCAGAGATTACTTTCGCACACATTTCAGAATTTTTCCAATGTTACCAACTGATCATAAAGGTCTTAAAAACAGAAACAAAATCATAATCCAACTGTAATCCAAGCTACTCAATTGAATACAGTCATCCATCAAACATCAGCAACAACAATAGTCCATACAACAGCAAATAACAGAAAATATCCAATTAAACATGTCTTCAAATGCTTTTCCGTCCTCCTGCCATTTTGTAAAATAGCAGTCCCAAAGGGGTGAGAAAAATCCCAGTAGTGTGGCAACAAAACCAATAATGCAACAGTATTAAGCTAGGCACAAAATTATAAACAGTCGCTACAAACATTAAATCCTTTTCATCATAGTTCCTTTTCATAATATATCATATTGCGTATATAACGCCTTCTTCACGCTCATAGCACCGTCGTGCGCGTGCATACACAGTGGAAATTCCATGCACGACACCATCATTTGGGGAATTCCACTGTGGCCTATGCGGACTGACGCCAACTGTCCCAGTACCCTGATATCAAGGGATGCCTATATGATGCGTGCTCAGTCACATGATCCTGTATATAACTATTCTAAATTTTCAAGGCTAACATGAATTCGGAGTATGCATGCCATGCTATGCTGTCACACACAAACAGAAAACAAATGCGGTATGATGCAAGGTGCATGCTTATATCATCATTGTCATAACATATATTTCATGTATATGGGATATCATACTGCCAAGCCATACTTTCTTTTTATAACAGAATTTCCATAATCATAACATTTCCATAGGCAGAATAATTCATCAATTATGGCAGAATAATCATAAGGCACATGTGAGCAACAATTCACAATTCATACACTAGTTAATAGTCACATCAGGTAATACCACCTAACACATACCTTGTGTCCAAGCAATAATCAATAGCACCAAAATTCAGCTCACTCATTAAGAGTTACGTGCACCTAATTACATGTGTGACAAGTCAGAATCGGTCTCATGTTATTCCTATAATTTATCAACAAATTTTCATGCTTCTAATTCTTATTCCGTAATCGGTTTCCATACATACAATTCAGTTTTCCATGGTCCCAAGACTAAATTAAATTTTCTGATTTAGAGTTAATACCCCAATTCGTTAACAGTTAAAAACCCATATTAATCCTATAATTTCCAAGTCATTTCCATTCTTCTCATTCTGGTATTTTTTTCTATTTACGAATCAACCAACACTAATATTTCACTGCCTAAATCTTTGTCCCAACAATTGCTAGAAAACAAAATCTCCAAGGTTTCACAAGCATGCAGAATCGGTTTTGAGAGACATTCTCTAAGAACCCACAATTTTCATTTAAATAAATTATTTGCTTGGCTTACGCAGGATTCAATATACTTGTAATGTGCTGCCCACTCAGTTTGATTATGTGTAGGTTCATAAATTTAATACATATAAGGCCTAATTAATCTAGTTAATGCAAGGAATATTCAAAAGGGCTATTTTCTAATCTCATAATAAAATAATTTTAGCTTGCATACCTCAAAAATTTGTTGTTTACCTACTGAACAGAATGGAATGGAACTAACATAACAAAAATACATTTTCCTAGCCTACCTTAAGAAACCGAACAGTGAGGATGAGATGGAGGCTTGGTCTTCGGTTTACAGCCCTCAAGTATGTACCCAAAGTTTTCATCAACCGCTTGGAGGGAGCAGCAACCACAGGTTATGCGCAAGCCCTCACCTTTCCTTTCCAAGAATCACTCTTCACCGCTCCTTGAAATTTACGTCACGGCTGGACAAGGATGATAACAAATGAGCAGATGTTAGGATCTGCACTCAAGAAGGAAGCTCCAATAACCCCAAGTGAAGCAGAGAGGAAATCCGAGTTTAGGGAGGACCTATTTACCCCCTTGATACTAACGACTCTACCACCATGAAAAAAGGAAAAGGAATAGGTACATTTAGGCATTTAGGTTCTCCTCTTTTGGGACTTATGACTTTGAGGAAATGAGGAGGACGCTGAGTTTCATTTTCTGGACCAACAGATAAACATGCAAGAAGATTCGGGTTGCTATGCGCATAGGAGGAGTGAGGGAATGGCTTGTGATTCTGAACCAAGAGGAAGGACAAGTAGTTGGATTAATCTGTGTATTTTTCTTGATTTCTCATTCACACAAGATGAGAGGATGAAATGGGTGGTGCGCTGTTTTCTTAATCAGTAGAGGTACATGTATTTCAGGTATGTGTCTCTGTAGTGTGCGCCCAAGATGAGGGAAATTGAGGGGCTGTTCTTTCTTTCCTAAATCTAAAATATTTTAATCAGCTTAGTTCCACCTTTCAATGTGCAAGAAAGAACGGTTAAGGTGGCTGGTTGATTTGGAAATTGGACAGCCATTCAAATTTGGTCCGTCACCTACCCAGCGCACAAGGAGAGCAAGTGAGAAGGTGCTAAAGCTTGCTGGTAATTAAAGTTAATGGCTAGCAAGAAAAGAATTTAGCTTTGTCATGCTCTTCTAGGCGCACAAGAGAGGAGTAGGGTTGGAAGGGTTAGTAGTGAGTTTTGTGGCTTGTTCCCCAACGCATAGAGATGAGAAAAAGGATGAGACTATGGCCTCACCATCTGACTCAAAGTTTCACCAAGAATGAAACAACATCATGCTTGTTATTTCCTCAAATGTGCGCACGGTGGGAAGAGATACAACACTAAAGGATGTGATACCATCAACCAATAGAAAGACATCCATTTAAAATGGACCAATAAGGAAACATGCAGCAAATTTTTCTTTCTTCCCATTGGCTACAAGGAGGGGCAGCGCTGAATGGCTTTGAACAAGGGTACAAGCAATCAGAATTCCCATTTTTCTATTACACCATGCGCATGAAGGGATAAGGGGAACAAGGGTTGATTCTAGACCAATAATAAGCTGACATGTAGAACTTGCTTGGGATGAGATAAGGAGTCATGTGGAGAAAGTACCTTGGGCTGATTTTGGCTCCTCATTTGGAGACTTGGGTCGTGGCCCTTAAAGAAGGTGGTTTAAAAAACAAAGGCCCAATTGTTTTCCTATTTAGGAATTAACCCAAGCCTTCTAATTTTTTACGTACCTCTAATTATTTACTAAGGGTTTACTCATTAACTTAAAATTAATCACATACTTTTAATGAGTACCCATATAATTCTAAGTAGAGTTATGCTTTCTATATGTAATAATAAAATTATCCCTATACTCATAACTAAAATTTCATATGCCTTAAATAGGTATTCACTTACCATGGTAATACAAATAATTTCCCTAATTTAATTTAACTCCATTCTAAAGCAAACCTTCCTATAATACGAGGTCAAGTACTCTACCCCATTCCTAATTGCCATTTAAATAGGTTCCTAATTAGACGGGATCTTATACTCTCCCCAACTTGTTTGGAAGTTTGTCCCCAAACTTCGTCTTATTATTCCAAAATCTCAGAGCATACACAGTTCACTGCATTCATACATCCAGCTATAAGAATCATTAACATCTCAGAGCATTACCAACAATTTTGTATTTTATATGATTAGTATATAATATAGACCTAACACAATTTGTTCGTACGGAAGAAAAGAAAAAAAAATCTTCCTAGGCTTAACCATGATACGAGCAGTTTCCTGGGTTCTTCTTAAACATCAACAAATACCAGATCACACAAGTGGACTAAAACGGACAAAAATCTCTCTAAACCAAGAAACTCCAGCTATATAAGAAAACTGTAATAGGGTTTTAGTGCACAATTAACAGACAACCAAACAAACCCATGTGCAGCACACTTCTTTACTTTATAAACTTTAATAATTAATACTAGCGTGGGTATAAATGATTAAATTTTTATGTACCCAATTCCAAAATTACAACCTATGTAGCAAAACCTGACATTAGATAGAGGGCATCACAAAATTTTGATATCGTCACTCACCCTTGACGTCACACCCTACCGCTACTCATCCGATCCTAAGTTTAAGGGTTTCCATACTACTGCGATTAACAAATCAGTGGCCCAAACCCAAAAGTTCCTAAGAATGTAGGGGTCCATTTAACAAGGAAGTAATTATTACCTTTATTACCTGTGCACATATAAAAGCTAATTAACTAGGGTCTCCAATTTTAAATATTTCATCTTAGTAATATACATGTTACAAGTTAGAAGTGCCATCACCTCCTACTTAATCCTTTCTATGATAATGGTTCAATTCACTCGCTAAACCATCACACATTTGCCTCACATTCAAACTTCTACATCAATCACCTTACTAAATACAATCACAAACAGGATTTGATATATTTATTAGCCTTCAAGAATTCAAGCAATTAAAATAAGACACATCTCATTTCCATTTTCAACAAACAGAGTCTTCATAAAATCACAAAACTTCTATCCTACTTTACAGACATATCATGTTAAGTAGTACCCCTCATACAGCTCATCAAAACACCCATATGGGGAAACTTCCTCGTGCTTTCCGCTGTCCTAAGTACCTCAGATGTAATTGACTTCACTGATCAGAGGACCCATTAACCATGATATGACTTTCCAATTATCGACACATTTTACAATTTTGAAATAGCTACCCCACATAATCCACTAACAAAGACCACACTGTCATAATTCAAGTTCACAAATTTCCGAGTTGCAATTAAATTTCCTTCTATAATGACAAGTCACAAGCACGGCACAAACCTCTTGCAGAAAAACACCAAATCCAAAGTCCACTTAAACAGAAAACTAATCTCTTCCATACAAGCAACAATACATCCATCCGGTGAGAGCATTTAAAAAATAATAATAATAATTCATGCTGTATTGAAACAATTTCAAAATGAATATCAAACTTTTAACATGAGGTTTACAGCAGCATATTTAATTCACAGGTTGAATATTGTTTCGATTAAACAACAATTAACCAAAATCAGGATGCTTAAGTTAAATTCAACTCTTACATTATGCACTCAGTTTTTATATGCGATGTTCATGGAACCATGCAGGTATAACATAAGAGTTCTAAGTGGTACTAGCTAGAATGGCCTATACAAAGATGATTAACAGCTCCAAGCAAACATGTGCAAAAGGTATGAATGGTTCATATTAATTTATATCTAGGATTTGAACACGCATGCAATCAGATCAAGAGAATGGTTGATCCCAGAATTTAACATAGAGTAGAAAAATTATAACCCGCAGTTTCTCAATTAATAATTTAATCAAAGCATAAGGTGAATAGATGCAGTTTAAGGTTTGACATTCATGGTAAAATATATTGTTCTTTTGGAAAACTGATATGGTGCAACATGGTGGGAACATAATAAACAATGCTACATCAATTCGGGTTATGGGACAGACATAAGGTATTAATCAAGAAGGTTGGACAACTCATACGTCAAGTGCAACGTACTTAATTAAAACAAAATTTTCTTTCAATTCACATTAGCCCACCAAAGAAATTCAAGTGTACTTCAGTCGTTACTTTAACAGTATATACAAAGAACAGATTAAATCAAGAACCAAGCACAATGCACTGTTCAACAAGTTCAGTTGTAATTCATTCAGCAGGAAAACTGAATTATGCAGTTAAAAATTTACATGTGACCAGTATTAAATGATTTAAATGTAGATGTTCATTAGAGGCAGCAAATTGATTTGACCAAGTTAATATTACAGTGCTCATAAAAATAAACCAAACTTAAAGTCCTATGTACCAGCAGACATCAGATTTCCAAACCCCCAATTTAACAAAACTAACAGGCGTGAGCTCATAACAGTCAAAGCTTATTACAGTCAAATTCCATTATCTCTGTTCAATCCAATTATGTCATTAGTGCAGATGATCCATGCCCATACACGATTAAATAAAATTTTAGTAACCAGTTTGAACCTTCTGTTGTTTACTCGAATATTAGCTTTAGCAAAGTGTCAATCAATCAACATAATAAAACAAGCCAAATAAGGTGTAGTTCTATGTAATTACAATTTACCTATTCAGTCCACTATATTTTAATTTCAGTTCAGATAACCTTTCTTTAATTATGCATTCAGTTCCAATGAAATGTTAAAAATCTAAACTGGTAAATTCAAATAATCACCACATAAAATTGGTTGTTACAATCAGAGACAATAAATTTACATGCAAGTCTAAAAGTGGTCAAAATCACACAAGGCCATCCAATACGTACGAAGTAAAATGACAAGTATCACTCACAAGAAGGACATAGAGATAGGAGTCAAGTACCTGACCTTACACATCACCACTTTATTTAACAGCTTCTTTCTCAAGAATTATGTCTAGTGCCAATTCACCATTAGGAGATTTGCAAAGGCGCAGACCCACCTGTCTAAGCCTTAATTAGTTCCAACTCTACTTTCTAAGGGCATTAACTGGATCTACTTTGATAAAGGATCTATCTTAACATAGGTTTGTCTACGTATAGTTTCAGGTCAAATAACAAGTCCTTCGTAAAACTAAATAACTACATCAATTGTCATGATTTTATCCCTGCTACCCTTACTAAATTATGAAACCCAACAGAATTAGTGAAAAGGAATAACAGTTTCTATTACCCAGCAAGGTAATACCATTATAAGACACAAGAAAGGTCATAAATCAGGAAAACAAGTATATATAATAGCAACCATTATTTAAAGATGACTTATTATAATTCACAGCTTAGACTATCACAAAAATAATCACATCAAGCATAGATATATAAAACCTTCCTTATAATCCATAATAAACAGAATTTAGGAATTAACCCAAGCCTTCTAATTTTTTATGTACCTCTAATTATTTACTAAGGGTCTACTCATTAACTTAAAATTAATCACATACGTTTAATGAGTACCCATATAATTCTAAGTAGAGTTATGCTTTCTATATGTAATAATAAAATTATCCCTATACTCATAACTAAAATTTCACATGCCTTAAGTAGGTATTCACCTACCATGGTAATACAAATAATTTTCCTAATTTAATTTAACTCCATTCTAAAGAAAACCTTCCTATAATACGAGGTCAAGTACTCTACCCCATTCCTAATTGCCATTTAAATAGGTTCCTAATTAAACGGGATGTTACAAGCAATGTTAAAAAAAAAAAAAAAGGTGGAAAATAAAAGGGATGGACCCCTGATCTTAAAGAATATTGGAGCTGAAATTTGTTTGAAATTTGATTATTTTCAAGAATATATCAGTATTCCAATCTCAACTAACAATTTTAGCTACTTCCCATAAATTCCTACCCTTAAGCCTGGCCAAATTATATCCATGTGAAGTCCTTTTGATCAATTGTGCATGTGTTAATGTTCCTCATCTTTAGGAACTTGAGAATATGATCAAGCTTATGGTAGTGTTATTGATGTGATGGATTGAGTGATTGTTACTCCCCAAACACTTGAGTGCTGAGCGTTATATGTTTATCTTGGTGAGGAGTGTTCAAGCTAGATTCTGATATTTTCATGAGAATAGAAGGCATTGTTAGGAGTTCTATGCATTTATTCAGTCATGCTTAGCATAGTGATCTATTGATTGTCTGTGTGATGTTATGTTGGAATAATTGAATATTTCCTGAATTGAGTCTTGTACATTGCTGGGGACAACAACGTTTAAATCTGGGAATGATTTGATGTGCCTCTGGCATGTGATGTTTTCCAAGCCAAAAATAATAAGACATCAGTCATAAAAGAGCATTTCTTGTATATTAATTACTTTTATTAGTTAGTTTTCCTATTTCAGTTTATTTTTCATCTTTTATATCATTTTTGCAGGTTAAAGCAAGAAGAAATAGAAAAATTGAAAAAGGAAAGTGGCGCTACCCGCGCAACTTTGGCGCTGCTACAGCGCCAGAAAAATACAAAGACCAGGGATTTGGCGCGAGACCCGCGCCAGAATGGCGCTACCCGCGCGAGAAATCGACCCAGTGCAAAAAAGTGGCGCTACACCCGCGCGGACTTCAGCGTGGAAGCAATTTCAAACTTAAGAGGACGCTGCGACGGTTCTTTAGGAGAGACTTTTGGACGATGGAGCATAACAAGGATTCGTGAAGGAGGAGAAGAGCAGAGGATTGTTCTTAGTTTCTCATTGTAATTACATTCTTTCATCTTTATCTTTTATAATTTTATGTTAGCCATGTCTATGGCTGGCTAATTTCCTTTATTGTAGTTAGGGTCACAATCCTTATGTGAACCCTTGTTACGACATATTGGTTATTTTACTTGTTTATATAAATTTCTTTATCTTTTCCTTGTGCGAAATTTCTATTTTCTTTATTAGACTTGATCAATCTAATATTGGATGATAGCTTGAGGGTTAGAACCCTAGATAGGAATATTGGGGTTTTTGATCTTGAAAGGGGGTAAGATAACAATTATTATGCATGCTAGAAATAGATGTATAATTAATTGCAAATGCTTTAATTATCGTGTTCATTGCTTAATTTTCATGAGGGGTTACTAAGGGAATAGGATTGCAATTGAGATTAAAAGGTTAAATTGCCAAGGGATTGGGATTTAACTAATTATTCTAGATGATAATTATCTGAGTATTTATATAAATAAGTATTTTTAAATCAATCCAAAGTAAGAAGTGGGGATCATATGGTGAGTGCACTCTAGCTACAATGTTTTCTCTTATTTACAAAAATCATTCTCTGTTCTTTTTCTCTTAAACAAAAATTCAAAAATACGTTTTACTTTTAATTCTTATTATTCTCAAATCCACGACAATATTTGTCACAAACTATTTGAACTCCTCCATTCTTGAAAGGACTATTAATTGATATACGATCACAATCCCTGTGGAGACGAACTTTTCTTATCATTATATTACTTGTGCGATCGGAATACTTGCCGGTGAGCATCACTCATCCTACGTACATATGAGATGTTTATACCCTAAGTCTCGCCTAGGCCAAGTGGCCATCAAAATGCAAAAAGGTGCTAATCCTCCAATGACTGAACCTAAGGGCTTCTTGCCCGCCGCTCCGGTGCCACTGCTACCTCCTGAAATAAAGCCCTCCAGACAAGGTGAGATATACGAATATATCTCAGTAACCTAGAGGTTCTGGAGAAAATTCCGCCCAATGGCTCACTTCGATGCATATAAATAATATAAAATAACCACTTTTCAAAACGGGATAAAGCAAGGGATTTAGAGAAACTGGGAAATATAGGGATACAAAATACGACGAAGCTGGAATGGTAGCTACCAATACCAAGCAACGTCTTCGGCATATATAAGCCTATGGGTATCATCCAAGGCGTGTTCCTAGAACATCCAACCAAGGTACCCCTTCCATCCATATACACCCGAGACATTCCTAGTGTGCTTCTATCCGGATTACACACCACGACCCTAGGTCAACTGGAACTCCCTCTCGGAGACCTATCCAGTGGAAGTCCGTAACGCCCGAAGGCAAAAACTGTCTACTGGCCAGAGACTCGATACATAAGTACCCTCATAAATACTACATGCATGCTCATGTTATTCTACACTACTCATATACATTTCCTACCATCACCCTCAACGAGTATGGTGGAACACACAAGGGGAACAAACCCCAGTACCAAGAGGTTACCTCAATATGTTCCTCCACTTAGCTCTGCAGCAGCTTATTTTCCAAACTTGTTATTCAACAGAATGCCTACACAGAGGACATTCCCAATTACTCAAAAACTCATACAACACATGCCAATTTACAATTATACATGCATTGATCCAACCACTTACCTCAATCCACTTGGTCCTGGACCAAAGGCAATCCACCGACTCACAGTTCGGGGTTCAAATCAACGTACGGCAACCTACATATCCATGTACGAATCGTCAGTACACGGCAATTCTATCAAAACGCGAAAAATGTCAAATTTCCCTCCTATACCTTATAGGTTCCGCCTTCTTAGGCATTTTTCAAAATTTATTTTTCTATTTTTTCTTTCTCATTTTATTATACATCCTTAGGTTGCCAAGAGGCCATACCAAGTGTCGTTTTCCCATTTTACGTCTTTTAAGCGTCGTTTTACTTAATAATTCGCTCTAAGATCCTTTATGACATTTTACATCATCAATTATTTTTCATTGATTCTTCCACTTTCCAACCACCACACAACCCATTTAAATACCGTTTAACACTTGAAACATCATCCAATCAATACAAACAACATCAAATTCCTAAAAACTCTCTAAATGGCCGAATTGTGACCTAAGTAATACCAAGGGATTTCCTTCAATTTTCAACCCTTCCACACTTCACACAATACCATTATATCCACATATAATCATCCAACAACTCACCACTAAAATCCTAACACATTTTCCAAGTTCAAAGTCATGACGCCTCAAAATTTTCTAAGTTACAAAATCATATTTTTCACCTAAAATTTTCATTGCATTTATAGCTAATACACATTATTCTAAGATATTATCATCTAATGCACATTTTCCATTAGAGCTCTCTAACATCACACATCAACAATTTAAGACTTAGGGTTCATGATTTTGATCTACACAATAAACCACAAAATGATGCAAACATACTCACAATCAAAGCTTGACACTCCTCCAAGGCTTATCCAAGCAATGAGAGACCAAATGACTCCATAAAGAGGCGATTTCAAGGCTTGGGAGTATCACCAATGGCTTTAGAATGGGTTTTCCAACGAATTTCAAAACAAAATTCAAGGGTTTTGGTGGAGAAATGAGTGATTTAGGAGGAAAATAAATTTTTGGGAGGAATGGCTATAGTGGGCTGCACTTCACAGGAGGGAGAAGAGAATGGAGAGAGAAAGTGTCATGAAATTGTGACTTTTGAGTCACTTAAACCATAGGTGGGTTCCACATGCGATTTAACTTTTATCAGTCACCTAATTTACACCACAAATTCATAACCTACGTATTTTTCTCGTCCATGTCATATTTTTACTTCCTAAAAATACTAATTATATTTTGACGCTTATGGGTACAATTATACCGTAGTATTTTACACCGGAAAAATCATTATTCATCAATTTTTCTCAAATTTGCCTATCCACTCGATTTTTCGTCCTGAGTCCGTTTCTGGCATTATTTTTGTCATTTGAGGTCTTCAAATTAACTTTTATCTTCCTAGGGTTGCGTGTTGGCTAATTACCATTTTGCCCTTTCTTTGTATTTTGGCCTATTTTCAGGATTTTCCCTAGTCCTTCCCTTTAATTCTCACTTAATATTTTAATACTTGATCTAGAATTGCGAGGTGTTATAATCACCCCACCTTTTAGAATTTTGTCCGCAAAATTAATATCCTAACGATCCCGTAACTCGGGATGTAACCGGAGAATCTCATCTTTCCACTCTCAACTAGCCTCCTTAGGTGTGCATCTTTACAATTGTACTTTCGTCACAGGCATAACCTCATTTTTTTGTGGTATTCTTCGTTACCCAATCCTTCTCAAAACTTGACCATTTCGGGGATCTGGCCTCTTAATTCACTATATCTTCACTGTTTCCATAGACTACGGTTGCATTTTCGTTAATTTGTAGGTCATAATATACCCATATTACAAACGTGCCTGTCAAATTTCACCTCATTTTCATCCTTATCTATCTTTCTGACCCAACGTCGTTCCCAAAAGCCTCTAACCGTATTCATAATAGACTCTAATCGTTCCCATGTATATTTACTGATTATTCCTAGGATATTTTCAACTCGCCCTTTCTTTAGTACTTACTCTTTTTGTTGTCCCTACTGTTTCAACACTACCCCAAAATATCAGTCCTTTCCATTTAGGCTACTAATCTTACCATTCTCCGTTATTTCCTTATCTTGCACGCAAGCGCATACCTTCTAGTTTCAATGGCATGCTACAGCATCCGAACAATCCCAACTCACATTACATTCCATTTTTACAACTTTACTTTACTTTGTCATGTGTCTTTACATCTTCTTAGATACTCACAACTATATTTTTCTCCTTGTGATACGAAACTAACAACCTTCACATAGTTTATATTTCGGATTAGCCATTCGAGGCTTTCAGCCCCCATTCATTCAGGAGTTTTCCATCTACAACGCTATATTTATGATTTACACTCATTGTTAATCTCTTATTAACCTAACCATCTCAACTTTATCAACTCAGTCAGCTCAACTCCATAAACTTAGCCCTATCAAAGTTTAAACACCACACTCATCAATGACCTCCACATCAAGTCCTCATACTTAATATTTTCTTCAGCTAACTATTTTTAACTTTTCATTCAATCCCGATGTTGCAATTTAACCATACGTTCCACTTATTTATACCACTTTTTCGTAATCATCGTCATTTCATCGTGGACGTCAAACTCAAAACACTATTACCTTACAGCTCTACTAACTTCTACTAACACATTGGCGAATCAATTTCCAAACCCATTTCACTATTTCCTGATAGACCATTCGAAAATGCCATATCTCTCACATACAAGTCCCATTCTATAGGAATTTTTGAAACTTAATTATCAGGTCGCATTAATCTAAATCCATCATTGCCATTACTTCTACAATTCACCATCAGTGGGTATACTAGCCTCTCGGAATATTCAAGCTACCACACGCACTCGATCATACATCATTAGTACCTAGTCAAAACAACATCAACATTGTACATTTTCCACACACTTTCCACCATAAGTGGCATATGCAATATATAACACTCCTCAATCCGCTCTACCAGTAAAGCCAAGCTATCAACTCTTAGGTAACCAATTTAAATTCCAGTTTCCAGCTATTATTACACATTCGTACTTGACTCCCTTACAACTTACCTTTCATTAAAGGCTATGACAATCTTCACACTTTCCTTGGAACCCAAAATTCATATCACCCCACTCGGTGTACACATACACACATTTCCTAGTGCTCGGAACTTGTAACAGCCCGTTGTGCACCGGTATTGTTAACATTTATTTATGATATTAAGCGCAGTTACGATCACAGCAGTTCATTTATAAAAATGCGAATAAACTTTTTTCGATTATTACGCGAGCATTTAAAACAATAAAAAACGTAATAATTAAAAGTTGTGACCGTAACTGTAAACTCTTGCGGAATACTTATTTTAACTACTTTTACATCTTACTTTACTTATTATAAGTTACTAAGGGATTCCCATAAACCCACTTAGCCAATTTCTCAACTTTACGTTTTTACCTTTTCGAACATGGTTCACTAATTAATTTTCTGCGAACACACCGCTCACAACCAGACCTTTCTTTCAAATTATATTTTTGTCTTACTTAATTACCTTTCTAATAAGCTATCACACACTTTAATAGGAGCTCGTTTGCTCCGGTTATCGCCGTTTGGAGTTGGACAAGCAAAACAGCCAACCAACCCCAAAACAGCTCAAAACACCTCTCACTCCACGAATTACTACAGCAAATCCTCTCAATCAATTGCTCTCAAATTTTTAGCAACAAACTAGACACCAGCTTTTATTTGATATATTATACGCTTAATTTGACTGAGAAACGAAGCGGGAATTAATTTCCCAAAAACTACCAGAAACAGCCCCGGCATAAGGGGGTTCTGGACAGTCCGTGTTCTTTTAATCATACAGGGCTGCGTGCAACCCGGAATTTTCTCATATTTTAACACAACGTAGGGGACATCTCAAGATTTAAAATGGCATATTGAACGTCCCTATCGGACCTCTGTGGAGGGAGATATGCTCTCCTGAATTTCGTCTAAAATCTGCCAATTCTACAGAAAATTCGCCAGAGTTTCCTTTGTTTTTCTTAAAATCCCCAAATTGCAAATGATCACTAAAACCTCAAATGTACCTAATAATCCAATGGGTGGCACACACAAGGACCAACAATGCCTTGGGGCACTTACGACCCAACTCAGTTTATAGTTATTACACAATTCATATTATATGGCTCACTTTATAATTCCTTAACTCATTTCAATCACCAAGTCCATTTACATGCAATTTCTCAACATAAGCATATAATCATAATTCTAACATAGGCCTAAAGTCCTTCCATCATATTACATCAATATTCAGGCATACTTACAACATCTCATTTAAATATAACAAAGTACATATTCATAACTTGAATTTACAACATGAAATATGAACTTGAATTTACAACTATAAACATAACATTGAATGACATAATAACTAACTAGACTTAGGAAAAAAATATATATATCATGAACAAATAATGACAATGCTCCCATGACTCATCCTATGGGCCTCTTGCCCGCCACTCCTATGCCACTGCTACCTCTTGAAATAAATGCCCCAAGACGGGGTGAGATATACGAATATATCTCAGTAACCCAGAGGTTCTGGAGAAAACTCCGCCCAATGGTTCACTTCGATGCATATAAGTAATATAAAACAACCACTTTCAAAACGGGATATAGCAAGGGATTTAGAGAAACTGGGGAATATCGGGATATAAAATACGACGAAGCTGGAATGGTAGCTACCAATACCACGCAACGTCCTCGGCATATAAGCCTACGGGTATCATCCAAGGTGTGTTCCAAGAACCACAACCAAGGTACCCCTTCCATGCATATACACCCGAGACATTCCTAGTGTGCTCCTACCTGGATGACACACCACGACCCTAGGTCAACTGGAACTCCCTCTCGGAGACCTATCCTGTGGAAGTCCGAAACTGCCCGAAGGCTAACTGTCTACTGGCCAGAGACTCGGTACATAAGTACCCACTGTAATAATGCATGCATGCTCATGCTGTTCTACACTACTCATATACACTTCCTACCATTACCCTCGACGGGTATGGTGGAACAAAAAAGGGGAACAAGCCCCAGTACCAAGAGGTTACCTTAGTATGCCTCTTCACTAACTCCACAGCAGCTTATTTTCCAAACTTGTTACTCAACAGAATGCCTACACAGAGGACATTCCCTAATTACTCAAAATTCATATAAACTCATGAAATTTACATTATACTTGCATTGATTCCTCCACTTACCTCAACTCACTTGGTCCAGGACCAAGGGCACTCTTCTGATTCACGGTTCGGGATTCAAGTCGACGTACGGCAACCTATACAACCATATGCAGTTATCAGTATACGCCAATTTCCATTCGAACGCGAAAACACAAAATCACCTCCCTTCCCATTGGAAGGTTCGCCAAGCAAGGCCATTTTTCAACTTTATTTTTCTAAATTTTCTTTCTCATTTTATTACACGTCCCTAGGTTGCACAGAGGCCAATTCAAGTGTCGTTTTTCCATTTTACGTCTTTTAAGCATCGTTTTGCTAAATCATTCCCTTTACGTTCTTTTATGTCCATAAATACAACTTAATATTTTCCATGGATTCCACCACTTTCCAACCACCACACAACCCATTTTAATATCATTCAACACTTGATATATTATCCAATCAACACAAACAACATTAAACTCCAAAAACAAACCCTATGGCCGAATTGCACACTAGGGGTTTCTAAAGAATGCTCACTCAATTTTAATCATTCTACACCTCCTACAATACCATTATATCAACATATAATTATCCAACAACTCATTAATCTAATCCCAACACATTTCCAATTTTCAAAGTCATGACACCTCAAATGATGTACGATGCATGCATATATCATCATTTCATAACATATACTTCATGTACATTGGATGCCATACTGCCAAGCCATTCTTTCTTTTCATAACAGAATTTCCATAATCATAACATTTCCATAGGCAGAATAATTTCATCATTTATGGCAGAATAATCATAAGGCACATGTGAGCAACAATTCACAATCCATACACTAGTCAATAGTCACATCAGGTAATACCGCCTAACACATACCTGTGACGTTTACAACTTTTTAAACAGACGTATCTCCAATTCAGTCCACTTTCTTAGCAGTTCGCGGACCTAAACCAATATATAACAAAAATCAGAATTTTATTTGACATTATTCCTATATGTTACATAAAGTTCCCATTCTTCTAAGTCCTTGGTTCCCAATCAGTTCTTGTGGTTCTCTCACTAGATAAATTTTCTGGTCTAAAGTTACATTACCAAATATTATCAAAAGACAGAACTAAGGTTATTTATGCAAATGGTTCGGTTTTGACCATTAACAAAGGTTTCCAAGTTCTCATTATGCCACCTTACTCATGCGGCCAAGGAATGCGCTCTCAAGACCACAACTTGTTGTTCTTAAGGTTAATTGGCACATGCAAGCTAGTTTATCATCCAAGTCCGTTTATCATCCAAGTCCAAAGGCAGTCCGTACAAGGCAGTGAGCTAGCTCCCAAAGCTCCAAAACCGGTCCTTTGAGCTTAATTTCATTAAAGGTTTGAGGTTGTCTTAACGAAACAGAGGTGGGGACAAAGAGAACAATAAAATGACATTATCCTAGGATGCATACAAAGCCGAGACAGAGAAGGATGAGAGGGCTAGGTTCATGCCATGATGCCCTCTTTGTATGCGATCAAGAGTCCAACCAAAACAGCCCCACAATTTTATAAAATGGTTCTACTCCAAGTTCCTAAAATCTGTTTTTATACATGCATGCACACTAGTTCACGGTTTAAAACAGAATTAGAGAAATGATTACAAAGAAAACAGATTTTATTCCCTATGAATTTTATGCCAGCGGAAACCATGTGGAGTGGAAAGAAAGTTTGGAGCTCATCTTACAGGTTCCTTTTTGAGTTTTCAGCCCTATGTTCAATAGGTCCAATAGGGCAGAGACAAGGGAAAGATCATTAATTAAAACTAACCTCTTAATATGTTTGCAAATCGAATAGGAAAAGAAAGAAAGGAGGAGTGGAATTCGAGTTACCTCCTTGGCTGTACACCAATGATCCTAGCCGAAACAGAAACAGCCTGCTACTCATTCCTAACTTTCAAGGGCCGAATCCGGCTGCATACAAGGGTGAGGATGGACTCAATTAGCGCTGGTTGAAGGGCATGCAACGGAAGGAAAAGAAAACGAACTCATTTAGAAACAAGAAGTGAGACAACATTCGATCACCTTGCTTGTAATGTACAGCCGAACATGGAAAGAGGGAACAATGGCAGTAGCGAGAATGCTTCCCCCTTGCTTCTAAGTGCATGATTTAGTTAAGGGAAGAGGAAAATGGAATTGGATCCTGAGTCTCTCTCTCTTGAGGAATCCACGGTTTAGGAGGAGATTGGGATAACAATGTTTTCTGTTTTTATTTAACGGTTTGCAGGCTCATCTTTTCTGTTTTGTTCTCTAACCTACGCATAAGGAGATGGTGAGGATGATGACTAACTTTTTGTTTTCTTTCACGCTTCTTGGAAATGGAATGGGATCAGTTTGGGTCATGGATAAATTGATCCCTTGTTCAAGGGAGTCTTTTGCCGAGACATATAATGAAGGGCACAAGGATTTTTCTCAGCTTAGTTGTCGAACATGCAAGAGGGGAGAGCAGATTACTGTGACACATACTACACATGCATAGGCTGATTCGGTTTTGGATAAGGTAGCAAGAAAAATTTGAAATTTCCTACACATCCTAGGCGCACATGTAGAGGGAGGACAAGGATGGGGCTTTGCCAAGTGGTGCATCTTGGCCAATGAGCATTTAGCATTCAGATTTTTATGATAAGCTAAGGGATGAACTTAAGAGGGCTTTGGGCTGAAATAAACTCCCCACCAAAGGCTTGGGTCGTGGCCCTTAAAGACATAAGGACCAAAGTTTTATTCTCTAATAGGTCATATTTTTCAATTACCTTTCTAAAGATTATCTAGGATTTTATTAAGGGATATAGTTTAAAATTAAACCTCTCCTACATTTACATGTAATTTGATTTCATAACATCGCCCCAAACTCCCAATTGTAATTTAAATAATTTCTTAACCATTGCTATTCCATAGAACCACTAGTTAGTAGTTAATGTTTCTAGATACAAAGAAATTAAAAGTATTGAAATTCACCCTACCCTAGGGATATGTATGAAAATTGAGTTCATGACATGCACTCCCACTTCTAATGGCAATTTAATTTAGCTCCTAATTCTCACGGGGTGTTACACTCTTCCCAACTGGTTTTGAAGTTTGTCCTCAAACTTCGTCTTACCATCCCAACGCTTACCTAAGTCTGACGCTTATCACCATCACCCCAGGCCATACCGTTTACTGCATTCTGACAACTAGCTATAAAAACCATCAGACATCTCAGGGCATTACCAACAAATTTGTACTTTGCATGGTCATTAAATAACATAGGCATGACACAATTTTGTTCGTACGGAAAGAGTAAATTTTTTTCCTAATTTTAATCATGATACAAGCAATTTCCTGAGTTCTTTTTAAACATCAACAAATACCAGATCACACAAGTGGAATAAAACAAACAAAAGTCTCACTAAACCAAAAAAAAAAAAAAAACTTCAGCTATATAAGAAGACTGTAATAGGGTTCTAGTGCATAACGGTTAGACAACTAAACAATTCCAATTGCAACACTTCTTTACTATATAAATTTTAGTAATTATTACTAGTGTAGACATAAGTGCTTAACCTTTTATTCACCCGATTCAAAATTATGACCTATGAAGGGAAACATGACAATAGACAAAGGGCCTCCTAACATTCCTATCTCATAATTCATCTTTGATGTCTCCCTATACTATGACTCAACCGATCATAAATTTCAATGTTTCCAAATAAAAATGTAATTAACAATTCAGTGGCTTATATCAAAGTTCTTAGAATGTAGGAGTCTATTTAACAAGAAGGTAAGATTACCTCCATTACCTGCGCACATATACGAGCTAATTAACTAAGGTCTCCAACTTTAAATATTTTGTCTTTGTAATATACAAGTTACAACTTAGAAGTGCCATCCCCTCCTACGTAATCCTCATCTAGGATAATGGTTCAGATCACTCGCTAAAATATCACACATTTGCCTCATATTCAGACTTCTACATCAATCACCTTACTAAATACAATCACAAACAGAATTCAATATATTTATTAGTCTTCAAGAATTCAAGCAAATAAAATAGGACACATCTCATTCCAATTTTCAAACAAACGGAGTCTTCATAAAATCACAAAATTTCTATCCTACTTTACAGACATATCATGTTAAGTGGTACCCCTCATACAGCTCGTCAAAACACCCATATGAGGAAACTTCCTCGAGCTTTCCGTTGTCCTTGGTACCTCAGATGTAATTGACTCCATTGATCAGAGGATCCATTAACCATGTTATGACTTTCCAATTATTAACACATATCACAATCATAAAATAGTTATCAAACATACCCCACCAAAACAGACCGGACCTTCGTACTTCATGTTCACCATAATCATATTCAACATTCCTATCTGTAATTAAACTTGCATTCAGAGGACAAATAATATTTTACAGTATGAGACCTCATGCATGAACAACACTGAATTCAAAATTCTTCATACCAATGACTAATCACATCAATTCATGCAGCAATATATTTATCCGATGAGAACCTTTCAAACATAATAATAATATTTCATGATGTATTTAAACAATTTCAAAATAAATATCAACTTTTAATCATGAAATTTACAACAGCGTATTTAAGTCACAGGTTGGATATTGTTTCGATTAAACAGCAATTAAACAAAAATCAAAGTGTTCAAGTTAAATTCAACTTTTACATTATGCACTCAGTTTTTTTTTTTATATATATGAGGTGTTCATGGGACCATGCAGACATAACAAAATAAAAAATAAAAAAATAATTGTAAGTGATACTAGCTCGAATGGCTTATCCAAAATGATGATCAGTTCTTAACAAACATGTGCAGAAGGTAAGGAAGGTTCATATTAATTTAACCTAGAACAATAAAATTATAGACCCACTGTTTTTCCGTTTATAGTTCAATCAAATTATGTAGTGGCTAAATGCAATTTAAAGGTCAATACTTATGGCAGCAAAATATATATACATAGGGGTTCAGAGGCCGTGTATCTCCACTAGAAGATAATGAACATCGCTAAGTAATTTGAGTTGCGGCATAAACAGAATGCACAAAATAATTTTTTAACAACTTATACGTCAGGTGTAGGGTTTTTTAGGCAAAACAAAATTTTCCTTTCAGTTCACTTTAACCAACCAAGGAGGATCAAATGTAATTTCAGACGCTGCTCTTCACGTTACATAAGTAATACAAACTGTCTTGAATATCTTGGACATAAAATTGTGTAGTTTGGGAAAATAGAGCTTTGAAATTTCGAGGTATCAAATGCTGTTAAGGTTTCTCAATATTCATTTCAACCAAAGTCAATCAAAACTGTAGCAAGGTTAGGTTGATCACAATTCCTACACTAGACACTTCATTCTCTTAATTTAAAGTACCAATCCATCATAATAGTAAACATACCAGGGTTTCAACAGCCGTAATCAAAACAAACAGTGAAAGATTGAAAGTATGGAAACTTACTTTTTTATTAATTCTAACCTGACAACATCCCCTAAAGCTATCGTGGAGCAAATGCATTTAGACTTTCTCTGATAACTATGGATCATGTATGACACAGTACATCATGGATATAATGTTTGGTTAGATGCAGTCAATTCATGAGCTAACATGATATCTAACTGATGTGTGTGTCATTAACTAGTAAGTTCTGTGTGTTGAGTCCATGAAGAATTCGAATTAGTACAAAGAAAGATTCAAAGTCCTTACCACTCACAAAATTAAAATGAATTTAGGCAGTCCAAATAATACAGGTTTACACAATATCATTCTCATTCATAATTTGACTCATAGTAATCATAAAAGATATATATATATATATATATATAAGTCATCAGATTGTTCTAGAATAACACATAACAGCATAAAATGGAATCAAGTTTTCAGCAACAAAGTTTCAAGCACCATAATGTGACAAATCTAAACTGGTAAGTTTACAATCATTACATAAAATTTGCTACGGTAATCAGAAACAATAAATTTACATGCAAGTCTAAAAGTGATCAAATGCACACAAGGCATTCCAATACGTACAAAGTAGAATGACAAGTTTCATTCACAAGAATAACACAGAGACAGGAGTCAAGTACCATACCCTACACATCACCACTTTGTTTAACAGCTTCTTTCTCAAGAATCATGTTTAGTGCCAATTCACCATTAGAAGATTTGTAAAAACAGCAGACCCACATGTCTAAGTCTTGATTAGTTCCAACTTCTACTTTCTAAGGGCATCAACTGGATCTACTTAAATAAGTGTCCTGTTCCTACATAAGTTTGTCCCCATACATTTTTCAGGACAGACAACAAGGCTTCTTAATGCTAGTTAACTAAGTCAATTATCAGAGTTCTGGCACTGCTACTCTTACTCAGTTAGGGGACCCAACAGGATTAGTGAAAAAGAATAACAGTGTCTATGACCCAGCTACATGCTACATTCACAACCCCCTATAAAATCATAAATCAGAAAAACAACTATGTAACAGCAACCATTGTAAAAATAACTTACCATCATCCACAGCTTAGAATATCACAAAAATCTTCACATCAAGCATATATAGATATAAAACCCTACTTATAATTCATAGAAAACAGAATCATTAATTAAAGTAGCAATTCACTATTTCAAACATAGTGCTCAGACACACGCGTACCCAGTGACAACCATGATTGTGCACACACGACTTGCGCGACAGTGAGTTGATCAGGCTCACCACCTAGCAAGTGAATGGGCACAGCCATGCTTAACACCGTGTACTACCAGTATCATCACACCTCCACATATAAGACACTTTTAATCAGTAACTCATTCACAGCTATATCCAATCAGCAACAATTCAGCGAAAATATACCAACAGCCAATAAATTCAAACAACAACCATCCAACAACCAGGCACAAACAGCAAGCATTTCATCAATACAAGCACCTTGAATCAAAACTGCTCTGATACCAATTAGTGTAACACCCTCCCTTGTGTGCACCCAAGAGAGTTGTTTGCTAAGCGGAATTAGAGTTCGTTCGTCATATATTTTAAGTACTGAAAAATCACTTTTACAGTGCCAATTAAAAACTTATAATTGAAATCGGGTTCGTCACAAAAATCAGAGTATACTTTCAAAATTTCTCAACTACTGAAAATATAACTTTCCTGGCAGACCTTGCTGTCTTTAAAAATTCGTATAAAATTCACTTCAACGATTCAAAACAATATTCTTTGTAATCTAGAAACTAGACATCGGGGGCTTCACGTTCATATAAAATAATAGTAATTTGAAGTTCGTTTTCCCCTCGAAACATAACTCGCAAAATAAGGGGTAAAACAGTGACAATATCACAAATGTCTTGGCTGGTAAAATTCATAATAAATCTAGCTTTCAGAATTTCTTTGAAAGGTTTATATAAAATGAAACTAAACACTTGGGGCTACGCGTGCATATAAATTATAGGAAAATCGGAGCTCCGTAGCCCCAGCACGCTAACTTGCAAAGTGCTCGCAAAACAGTTTGCACTTAGCTTTCAAAACATCAGAATTCAGTTTTCGTAAAACGTTTCTAAAATCCGTTTCCAAAATACTTGCAGGTCATAAAATCATAATGCAATAATAAAATCATAGTTCACAGTAATATAAGCTTCTCTATTTCATACAGTCATCCATAAAATTAATACAATCACAGTAACATGCCCAACAGTAGAAACCAACAGCAAATACCCAAGTCCTCATATGCTTTTGCGTCCTCCTGCCATTTTATAAAAATAGCAGCCCCAAAGGGGTGAGAGAAATCCCAGTAGTGTGGCAACAAAACCAATAATGTAACAATATTAAACTAGACACAAAATTATAAACAGTCGCTTCAAACATGAAATCCTTTTCATCATATAACCTTTTCATCATATATCCTTTCTTCATATATCATATTAACGCCTTCATCACGCTCATAGCACCGTCGTGCGCGTGCCATCACAGTGGAAATTCCATGCACGGCACCATCATTTGGGGAATTCCACTGTGGCCTATGCGGACTGACGCCAATTGTCCCAGTACCCTGATATCAAGGGATGCCTATATGATGCGTGCTCAATCACATGATCCTGTAGATAACTATTCTAAGACTCAAGACTAACATGAATTTGGTACATGCATGCCATGCTATGCTGTCACACACAAACAGAAAGACAAGTGCGGTATGATGTACGGTGCATGCATATATCATCATTTCATAACATATACTTCATGTACATTGGATGCCATACTGCCAAGCCATTCTTTCTTTTCATAACAGAATTTCCATAATCATAACATTTCCATAGGCAGAATAATTTCATCATTTATGGCAGAATAATCATAAGGCACATGTGAGCAACAATTCACAATCCATACACTAGTCAATAGTCACATCAGGTAATACCGCCTAACACATACCTGTGACGTTTACAACTTTTTAAACAGACGAATCACCAATTCAGTCCACTTTCTTAGCAGTTCGCGGACCTAAACCAATATATAACAAAAATCAGAATTTTATTTGACATTATTCCTATATGTTACATAAAGTTCCCATTCTTCTAAGTCCTTGGTTCCCAATCGATTCTTGTGGTTCTCTCACTAGATAAATTTTCTGGTCTAAAGTTACATTACCAAATATTATCAAAAGACAGAACCAAGGTTATTTATGCAAGTGGTTCGGTTTTGACCATTAACAAAGGTTTCCAAGTTCTCATTATGCCACCTTACTCATGCGGCCAAGGAATGCGCTCTCAAGACCACAACTTGTTGTTCTTAAGGTTAATTGGCACATGAAAGCTAGTTTATCATCCAAGTCCAAAGGCAGTCCGTACAAGGCAGTGAGCTAGCTCCCAAAGCTCCAAAACCGGTCCTTTGAGCTTAATTTCATTAAAGGTTTGAGGTTGTCTTCAGGAAACAGAGGTGGGGACAAAGAGAACAATAAAATGACATTATCCTAGGATACATACAAAGCCGAGACAGAGAGGGATGAGAGGGCTAGGTTCATGCCATTATGCCCTCTTTGTATGCGATCAAGAGTCCAACCAAAACAGCCCCACAATTTTATAAAATGGTTCTACTCCAAGTTCCTAGAATCTGTTTTTACACATGCATGCACACTAGTTCACGGTTTAAAACAGAATTAGAGAAATGATTACAAAGAAAACAGATTTTATTTCCTATGAATTTTATGCCAGCCGAAACCATGTGGAGTGGAAAGAAAGTTTAGAGCTCATCTTACAGGTTCCTTTTTGAGTTTTCAGCCCTATGTTCAAGAGGTCCAATAGGGCAGAGACAAGGGAAGGATCATCAATTAAAACTAACCTCTTAATATGTTTGCAAATCGAATAGGAAAAGAAAGAAAGGAGGAGTGGAATTCGAGTTACCTCCTTGGCTGCACACTAATGATCCTAGCCGAAACAGAAACAGCCTGCTACTCATTCCTAACTCCCAAGGGCCGAATCCGGCTGCATGCAAGGGTGAGGATGGACTCAATTAGCGCTGGTTGAAGGGCATGCAACGGAAGGAAGAGAAAATGAACTCATTCAGAGTCATCCGAAAAGAAAGAAACAAGAAGTGAGACAACATTCGATCACCTTGCTTGTAATGTACAGCCGAACATGGAAAGAGGGAACAATGGCAGTAGCGAGAATGCTTCCCCCTTGCTTCTAAGTGCACGATTTAGTTAAGGGAAGAGGAAAATGGAATTGGATCCTGAGTCTCTCTCTTGAGGAATCCACGGTTTAGGAGGAGATTAGGATAACAATGTTTTCTGTTTTTATTTAACGGTTTGCAGGCTCATCTTTTCTGTTTTGTTCTCTAACCTACGCATAAGGAGATGGTGAGGATGATGACTAACTTTTTGTTTTCTTTCACGCTGCTTGGAGATGGAATGGGATCAGTTTGGGTCATGGATAAATCGATCCCTTGTTCAAGGGAGTCTTTAGCCGAGACATATCATTAAGGGCACAAGGATTTTTCTCAGCTTAGTTGTCGAACATGCAAGAGGGGAGAGCAGATTACTGTGACACATACTACACATGCATAGGCTGATTCGGTTTTGGATAAGGTAGCAAGAAAAATTCGAAATTTCCTACACATCCTAGGCGCACATGTAGAGGGAGGACAAGGATGGGGCTTTGCCAAGTGGTTCATTTTGGCCAATGAGCATTTAGCATTCAGATTTTTATGATAAGCTAAGGGATGAACTTAAGAGGGCTTTGGGCTGAAATAAACTCCCCACTAAAGGCTTGGGCCGTGGCCCTTAAAGACATAAGGACCAAAGTTTTATTCTCTAATAGTTCATATTTTTCAATTACCTTTCTAAAGATTATCTAGGATTTTATTAAGGGATATAGTTTAAAATTAAACCTCTCCTACATTTACATGTAATTTGATTTCATAACATGGCCCCAAACTCCCATTTGTAATTTAAATAATTTCTTAATCATTGCTATTCCATATAACCACTAGTTAGTAGTTAATGTTTCTAGATACAAAGTAATTAAAAGTATTGAAATTCACCCTACCCTAGGGATATGTATGAAAATCGAGTTCATGACATGCACTCCCACTTCTAATGGCAATTTAATTTAGCTCCTAATTCTCACGGGGTGTTAAGACTCCTCCAAGCAATGGAAGATCAAAAAGCTCCATGAACATCCATTTTTCCTCAAATTTTTGCAGCTGAAATTGAGCAATATCTCCCCATAGAATCGGTTTCAAGGTTCAAGAGTGGTACCAATGTGTTTAGAAGGTGTTTTCCATCACGATTCAAAACAAAAATCGTTGGATTCGGTGGAGAAACGGCTAAGTTATGATGAAATGAAATTTTTGCACAATGAAGGTAATGGAGGGGCTGTCACCGTGAAGAAGAAGGAGGGAAGGAGAGAGAAAATGAGAGGAAAATGGGGTTGTGAAGTCACTTAAGTGATTTATGACTTAGGTGGGTCCCACACGCGTTTTAAATTTAATCAATCACCTAATTTCGACCACAAATTCATAACCTACATATTTTTCTGGTTCATGACATATTTTTGTTTCCTAAAAATAATGATAAAAATTTCACGCTTATCGGTACAATTATACCGCAGTATTTTTACACTGGAAAAATCACTATTCATCAAAATTTTTGAAACTTGCCTACCCACTCAATTTTTCATTCTGAATCCATTTCCAGGGTTATTTTTATCATCTGAGACCTTTTACTAAATTTTTATCTTCCTAGGGTTGCGTGTTGGCTAATTACCGTTTTGCTCTTTCTTTGTATTTTGGCCTAATCTTTAGGATTTTCACTAATCCTTCACTTAATCACTCACTTAATATTTTAATACTTAATTTAGAATTCCGAGGTGTTATAATCACCCCCACCTTTTAGAATTTTGTCCGCAAAATTAACATCCTAACGATCCCGTAACATGGGGTGTAATCGAAGAATCTTATCTTTCCACTCTCTACTAGCCTTCTTAGGCGTGCATCTTTAAAATTTTACATTCGTCACAGGCATAACCTCGTTTTTGTGGTATCCATCATTACTCAATCCTTCACAAACTTGATAATTTCGGGGATCTGGCCACTTAATTCATTATATTTTCACTGTTTCCATAAACCACTGTTGCATTTTCGTTAATTGTAGTTCATAATATACCCATCTTACCAACTTGACACTTATGGTGCCACGACCTTTAATTTACAATACTTTAAGCTTTTCATGGTTTACGATTGCACTTTCACTAATTTATAGGTAATATATAACCACATTACAATTTGTCTGTCTCACTTCATCTCATTCTCATCTTTTCATTCTGACCCAATGTCGTTCCCAAAAGCATATAACCGTATCTATAATAGACTCTAATCGTTCTTATGTATACTTACTGATTATTCCTGGAATGCTTCCAACTCACACTTTCGTTAGTACTTAAATTCTCCCGTTGTCCTTACTGTTTCGACAATACCCCAACATACCAGTCCTTTCCATTACTATTACTACTCTTATCATTTCGTTGTTTTCCTAGCTTTCACCCAAGCACATACTTTCTATTTTCAATGGCACTTTGTCGTATCCTATAATTCCGACTCACATTAATTTCTATACTTATATACTTTATTTCTCCTTGTCACGAGTCTTCACCTCTTCTTAGGTACTCACCACCATATCTTTCTCTTTGTGATGCAAAACTAACAATCCTCACAACAGCTCATACTCCCTGTCAGTCATTTCCAAGTCTTCTCCCACAATTCTATTCATGAATCTCTCCATCTACAACATCATATTTATAATTTACACTCCATGTTAACCTGTTTATCACTTAACCGTTTAAACTCTATAAATTTAGCCCTCTCGTAGCCTAACCTCAACATCCATCAATGCCTTCCGCATTAAAGGCCTATTCCCTAATCTCTTTAGCAATTAACACTTTCTACTCCTCATTCTGTAACACTGTTATAGATTTCAACATATTTTTCATTCGATGTCAAAGTTGTAATTTAAACACTTGTTCCACTTATTTGTACCTCAATTTCGTAATCATCGACATTTAATCCTGGATGTCCAACTCAACATACTATACCATAATCCTCACATATAAGTCTCCTTATATTACTAATCTCCAAGCATAATCGTTCTATCACCTGGCACTACTTTCATCCCTAAACAAATTTCAAAATTTTATCAATACCATGTATCTTCCAAAGATATACCTCTCTCACTTAGCATGTATCACATACCGTGCTCCAAGTCACTCCATTGAGTTATCAACCTTTCTTGAATCACTAAAATTTAAGTCACTGGTCCTTATTAACATTTTCACCTAATTCCATCACAACTAACTCCTTATGAAAGGCCATCAGGCCACCATTTTAACTACACATTTATTCCTCATTAGTCCCTTCCAATACAACACTCACTCAATTCATCAATATTAACATGTTGCTATTTGTATCATAAGGCAATAATTCCCGACAATCTTCACACTTTCCTTGGAACCTAAAATTCATATCACCAATACTCGGTGTACATGTACCCACATGTCCTAGTGCTCGGAACTTACACCTCAAACTACCTTCTCATGACGTCTCATATTTTATATTACACTCGATATATTTCTGTTCACATAAAGTTACCTGATATCTTGTGTTGCGTTCTTCACACGACACAATCCTCCCAATACGGTGGGTAAAATATCCCCAGGTCAAACCCCTCGAGCTCTAGCTGTCCTACGGGCCCCAGATGTAAATGACCCACCGATCAAAGAATCTGCCCTTATGATTCACGTAGTAATAGGTAATCTACCACCAGTTGCCCTTGTGCTAGGAGCATCACCAATTGTTTCTTATCTGTGCATTTATATAAAACACCTCAACTATATTAGCAATCCCATCAATGCGGGATACTTCCTCGTCTCATATTACTCCTATTAAATACTAATAGTCTCCGGGAACATAATCCGCACGGAGATAGCTATACACTCTGGGCACATAAGCCGCACAGAGAAAGTAATATCAATTCATATAATGTGCACCCAGTGCATAGGGAAATTCATATATATATTATATCCGTATATAATGGCAAAACGTGTACCTAGTACACCCCAGATCACACCTGGACCCAGTCCATTTGGTGTCTGTATCATTTCCGTATATAACGGCCAAATGTGTTTGGTATATTCACATGGGACGACCCCCCATAATAGTAGTAGTGGTATAATATACACATATTACATATAAGTAAATTCATTATACTTCCTCGTTTGATTCTCCCCACCGATAGTTTACTTTCCTCTTGGTTAACCCTCAGACCTGGTTTATAACATATTCAGTAATATAATAATTCATATTCTCTTCACAATCTCGTACACATTCCCTAACTCTTAATAGTTTCTTCTATCATGTTACCGTTCAAATCATATAGAACTAAGTGCATCATTAACACAATTTATAATTTTATTGTACATCAGTCCTTGCACTAATGATACAATTCACAATTTTTCTGTATATCAGTCCTTGCACTGATCATACAATGCACAATTTATTGTACATCAGTCCTTGCACTGATGATACAATTCACAATTTTATGTATATCAGTCTTTGCACTGATAATGCAACACACAACTTTATTGTACATCATCAGTCCTTGCACTGATAATACAATACACAATTTTACTGTACATCAGTCCTTGCACTGATAATACAATACACAACTTTCTGTATATCAATCCTTGCACTGATAATGCAACACACAACTTTATTGTACATCAGTCCTTGCACAGATAATACAATACACAACTTTATTGTACATCAGTCCTTGCACTGATAATACAATACACAACTTTCTGTATATCAGTCCTTGCACTGATAATGCAACACACAACTTTATTGTACATCAGTCCTTGCACTGATAATACAATACACAACTTCATTGTACATCAGTCCTTGCATTGATAATACAATGCACAACTTTCTATATATCAGTCCTTGCACTGATAATGCAACACACAACTTTATTGTACACCAGTCCTTGCACTGATAATACAATACACAACTTTATTGTACATCAGTCCTTGCACTGATAATACAATTTCATCATTCAATGGTACCCTAGTCCTTTCACTAGTCATATCATTTTCACACTCAATTTCATTTTACTCTTATGCATGTATCTACACTTAATGTAATTACCTATCAATTTTCGTCACACTAGATGAGTATTATTTAGAAAACATTTCTAAAATTTCATACCTTTAGCTATCCTGAGGTTTTCCTCCCCAGTAAGTGGCTCATATATATAAGTCTGACCTCCTGCTTGAGACCCATCAATTTTCCTGCGCACTTCCACCCTTGGTGGCTGTAGAATATTCATTACATTGAAAATACATCCACTCCGTCCATCAACCCATATCAAATACCAAATGATTTCACAAGCATACTACTATTAGTGGTACATATACATAGATCACTAGATCATAATTCCTTTACAATTCTCATTACTGTCTTACACATGACTATACATTTCAACCATCCTATTCATTTATCACTGACACGTCTCCCAATTTAAATC